GGAGCTGTAAGTGCCATAATTGTTTTCATGACAATTCGGCTTATTGATGGTTGTAATGGCCCCAAATCATCAGTAAAGTTACTGGTGATATGACGTCCCTCACCAAATCGCTGACAAATATAATGCCTGCCCTGTCCAAATGATACCATTTGATTAACTGCTCGTCGTCAAACATTTCAAGAACATTCTTCCTCTCCTGAAAGATTCGCTCACTTTCTCTGTCTCCTCAGCACCATCACAAACCCCTACTGGCAACTCCTAACCACTCGAGAGACCTCTCGAGCGGTCTTAAACAACTGGGAGAATAAGAGCGATTCTTAGCTGTAAGAAATTTGATAACTTGCTTTTATACTTAAGTTTGAAAGTAGGAGTAAATTTTATGAATTCTCAGCACGTAAGACTAAAATGGCACTTTGAGAAGCTTGATAAATACAGGCCCAGGGCTGCCTGTGATGCCAAAACAAGCTACTGCTAGAATATGCATGTACACACAGGCAAACCTGCAGGAGCACAGCCTGAGATAAACCTGGGCAAGCGAGTAGTAATTTGAAATGACGCATGGCCTGCAAGGACATATTGTCACATGTGACAATTTTTTACATTATATGCTCTTGGCACAGAGCTCCTTAAAAAAATTTAAAATGCTTGGAACAGTGCTCAGGAACAAGCCGGAGCTTCCAAGCGCCTTGACAAATCTGAGAGGCAGGTCTCGATTTTCATCGCTGTTTGCTTTTAGAGACGCATACCATTGTGTCATACTGTGCTAAAAAAATTAAAATGTGCTTCTCATGAGCACCGTCCACAAAGAGGCAACAATCAGCAAGCGAGAGGAAAGGAAGCCTCAAATGATTTTGGATTATAATAAAACCAAAAGTAGAGTGGACACTCTTGACAAGGTATTTGCTACTTTCTATTTATTATTTTATTAGTATTATTGTGATTGTGAATGTGTGTGCAATATTCCAGATTGTTGCAACATATTCATGTGGAAGACTGCGCGCTGGCCAATGGCACTCTTCTATAATATGCTTATAATGCATTCGTGCTATGGAGGGAAATTGATCCCACATGGAAACAAAGTGCCCCAAACTACAAGAGGAGGTTTTTTCTAGAGGCGCTAGGGAGAGCGCTGGTGTCCCCCTATGTAAAATCAAGGCAGTATGGCCCACGCACACCAGCCTCTCTGCTTCTCAAGAAAACTTGCAGGAAGAAGATGAAGAAGCAGCTGGTCCCTCCATGGCTCGCCCCTCCAGACCAGGTCCCTCCATGGCAGGTTCTTCCTTGGCTAGTTCCTCAGCCAAGAGGAAAAGGTGCCCAAGATGCCTCCCGAGCAGTGCTTGAAGTGGGCCGGTACGCACTTCTATATTTTAGCCTTTAGAGTACCTTCACTTTTTTGTGCGTACCGGCACTTCTGACATGTTGCCGGTACTCAAAGTAAAAACATCAGTGTCTGGGTAATTATATGATCCCATAATATGATTAGAAAGGACACTATATAAATCACACTACCCAGGCGGGATCACCTCTCATCTCGACCAATCACGTGAATGAATGCAAGCGGAGTGTGTGATGCGCGAGAGCATGCCAGGGGAGGCGCGCAGAGTAGTAGAATAATAATTAATTATTGATTACTAATTTGAATCAGTACTTTATAACAAAAATAATATCTTAAAATTAAAAGAAGCAGGCTTTTGCGATCACATCAATTTAAACTGGTAAACTCCTGCAAAGTCCAAGGATCCAGTAAACGAATTCAAACAGTAAGTTCAAAACAGCCTAATGCAGAGAAAACACGGCCGATTTCATCAGCGATTGCGGAAAGAATAGTGACGTACGTCCAGATATCAGTAAAATTATTATTTTCAGCGTGTATTTGGCTTAAATGCAAGTGTGTTTTATAATGAACGCTGATTATGCGGTGGTCAGATTTAGTGATTCTGAATGGATCCGTATTGTAGGCAGGCGATTTAGTGGTCTTTGGCGTCTCCCTGTGCTCCTGTTTGGTATCGCAGCTTGACTTGTGCTAATTTGTACTGAAAACTTTTATTCAATTATTGATTGATTGATTGTGGCACTATGCAAGAAATGCAATAATCCCGTTTGCAAAAGACACTGCATTCTGATCTGTGACCTCTGCTACAATCCATAGGGTAGTTATCTAGAGTTAGTACAGTATGTAGTTAGCATATAGTTATTATAGTAGTTATTATATACAATATATAATTATAAATATAGTATATCTAAAATATAGTATAAATGTAAATATTGTATATAGTTAGTATAGTAGTTTCTCTTTTTTCATTTACTGTAACTTGTTGTTCATTATTGCCATTTCCTTTTTTACTGTTCACTGACTTTTACACAAAATACACGTTCATTAAAAAATGTTTACATAAAGTGTATGAATTGCTTTTTTTTTTTTTTTTTTTTTTTTAAAATTCTGAATCAAAAAATGGGTAACAAAATGCTTCCTTGCATTCTCTTTCTAACACAATGTTTAGGTTTGACAGTAATCATAATGCAAAATCTAACACTTCAAATCACTATTTCTAACAAAAAAAAAAATCTAAAACTAGATAAGAAATTGTCTTTTGAGATATATATTCAACTCTTCCACCTAATAAAAATGTTGAATCAATTATGACTAAAAACAACTAGGCAATTCACAAGCTGCTCTATAGAGAGCTATACAGGCATCTAGTGGTTACACCATGCCATTACACGTTGTTGTTGTTTTTGTTTTGTTTGTTTTTTAAAACCAGATGGCAGAAATCTGCCTTCCAAAATTGGATTTGAATGGCTGAGTCTCTATTTTAATCTGAAATACTGCATTAATTAAAAAATAAATAAATAAATATATAATTAAAAAAAAATTGAAATATTTTCAATGGGAACAAATAGATATTAATTACTGCATAGATAGTTATTACCACAAAACCCTCTCAAAATTCAAAAGAAAAAATATTATTGAACAAAAATGAATTAGAATGATTTTACTGAAAAAATAAGAGGTCACATTACAGGTGTCCGGTCACTTTTGACCGTGAGGACAATGAGTGTGATTCACAAATAAGGAGCACCTTGAGGTATTATTTTTTTAAAGTGTATTAAGACTTAGACCAATGACTGAACTTCATCTCAAAAGGTTTGAGCAACTTTTTCCCCTGAGAACAATGTAATTCCTAAGCAACATTACATGCTTCTTCCTGCTTAAATTCTGACTCTGGCATTTGATAAGGTATATATGCATAAGATTTGAGTCAAAACTGTATTTTTTCTTTTATTCTTTCTTTCTTTTTCTTTAAGCAGAGGTCCTCAAAATGTAACTTTAAAAAAAGTCGAGTCACTTGTGAACCCTAATCAGCTTTTTGAAGGTTATGAAGTTGGTTCTGAGCATCCCATTTTTCTACATGAGGAGGAATCGAGTCCTGTCTTTGAAGTGAAAAATATGGACTACATTACAGCAAATATAAGAAATTTTGGGGGATTGATAGCATACAACATGCAATCACAGTAAATTGACTTATGTTTGATGGTAATAAGTACATCAGAGAAACATCTCTGATAATCACCAATGCAAATGGGACAGTGTCTGTCTTTGGACTTTTCAGAAAAAAGAAAAAACATTTATGCGGTACACTGTTCATTGTACTGTTTTGAATATCAGCATCATGAGACTCTGGATTTGAAGAGAGATCTTTTAGCATATAAAATCTTTGTACCTAGTTGATAAGATAGCTGAAAAGCTAGTGGATCATACATGGTGTGTATGTGGATCATACATAGTGTGTTTATTCTGACAAAATAGAATCTTGATGATGTCACTGCGCTTATAGCTAGACATTAATAATCATGCTGGGCATGCTGGATAAGGTTTGCAAGGAGTATGATGACTTGATACTTCTGATACCTATGATTTGTTTCTGGGTTGTAAATAAATGTGTTCATTAGGGTTGGGTACTGAACTCGGTACTTTTAAGGGTACCGACCAAATTGCGTCGGTACTACCGAGTACCGATTCACGTTAAATCAATCTATGCCAAATTTCGGTACCTGAGAACGCATCTGGGCGCATACGCTACAGAGTGAGAGAGAGACCCTGTGACGTGAGGTCACCCCTGCAACTCGTTCAAACAACACACAGGGCAAGCCGAAATGTTCTGAAGTGTGGTTACATTTCTAGGGCCATATGGTTTCTGCGAAAACGTGGACGGGATCGTGGAGTCCATTCATAAAAACGTAATTTATAGCACGGAATGCCATGGAATTCGTAAATTTTGGACGAATAAATCAAAAGTAGCCACTGCCACTTAATTCGAATCTCGATATAAACTAGTCTCTGTGAATATTAAAATGCAAAAAGACTGTTTAAATATGAATCCTGCATGTTCCGCTTGAATGGCGGAAACGCGGTTTTGTTTACTACACAAATACTGAAGCACGCGTGACGCTCGCAGTGATTTTCGGCCTCTGCGTCTCACTATATGACGGCATGAACACAAAAACTTAATCTCCAGAGCTGCTGTGAGAGTCACTTCGCGAGAATTTTACCGTTTCATTTGAGAAAACTAGCATCATCATACTGTATACACACAGAAACTTCATGGCAACCTGTCAAAATTTCACACAATTTTTCTTCCATGTATTAATTTCAACAGTAAACCTCAGTTTGTTTGCCAAAAAATAAAAGGGTTTAATTTTCATTTGATTTAAAATAAATGTTTAATGCCTTCATTTGATTTTCAGAAAAATTAAAACAAGAATTTCTGGGGGGAAAAAAGAAAAAGAAAGAAAAAGTTTGTAGGGCCCTATTGTTCAAAATATTGAAATTGAGACTTTTGGACTTATTTTTTCACTGAAATAATTTTTTTTGTAATTACACAGAGAGTAAAGTACCGATAAAAGGTACCGTTGGGTACCGGCACCGAAATTCAGGTACCGATACCGGTACCGTACCAGTTAAAATGTGAACGGTACCCAACCCTAGTGTTCATGTTGGCATAATCCACCCGCACATTCTCTCACTAAAATTAATCAAGTAACATTGAACAATCGTAATAATTTAATTCCGAAGTCAAATCATAACTGCATTTTTAGGTGTACTGTATCTGTAAGTGTGATGGCAAAAGATTATTTATTTTTTGACACTGATCACAATCAATTTGCTCTCCTCCAGAGTGAATGTCCAGTTATTTTTGAAAATTCTCCTTTGTCTAAACCTATTGTCACACTCAAAACACTGAAATTTCCAAAATTGTTCCAAAATTTCCAAAATTGAATGTTTCAAGTCTTCAACCATTGTTGTTGTATTGTTGCTTATCGATTAGTTTGTTGCACATTTTTGCGCTGCCCTTACAGGGAACACACGCTTACAAAAATCAGGCTGCACACCGCACACAACCCTATTGCGTACTTCTAAAAACAAAATGTACTCTGGGGTTAAGACTTCTTTCCAGTGTGAACTCTCATGTGACTCTTCAGGCTTCCTTTAACCGTGAAACACTTTCCACACTGAGTGCAGGTAAAAGGCTTCTCGCCAGTGTGAATTCTTATGTGAACCTCAAGGTTTGGTTTCCTTGGGAAAGCCCTTCCACAGTGATTGCACATGAAAGGCTTCTCTCCGACGTGAGTTTCTATATGATTCTTTAGATGTTTACTGTCTGTGAAACTGCTTCCACACTGATGGCATTTAAAAGAGTTTTCTTTTAAGTGAATCCTCATGTGGTAATTAAGGGTTAGTTTATGTCTAAAACACTTTCCACACTGATCACATGTGAATGGCTTCTCTCCAGTGTGAATGGTCATGTGAATCTTAAGGCTAACTTTATGTCTGAAACTCTTTCCACACTGTTGGCAGGTGAACGGCTTCTCTCCGGTGTGAATTTTCATATGAGATTTCAGGGTTTTCTTGATTTGGAAACTCGTTCCACACTGTTGGCAGGTGAAAGGCTTCTCTTCGGTATGAGTTAGTAAATGATTTTTAAGGCTTTTCTTTTCAGGGAAACTCTTTCCACACTGAAGACATTTATAACAATTCTCTCCTGAGTGAATCCTCATGTGGTAATTTAGAGTTTCTTTACATCTCAACCTCTTTCCACACTGATCACAAACAAATGGCTTCTCTCCAGTATGAGATCTCATGTGAATCTTAAGACTTTCTTTTCGTGCAAATCTCTTCCCACAGAACTTGCAGGTGAAAGGTCTCTCTCCAGTGTGAGTTTTCATGTGGCCATTGAGGGTTCCTTTATGTGTAAAGCTCTGTCCACATTGTAAGCATGTGAAAGGCTTCTCTCCAGTGTGAATTCTCATGTGGATTTCAAGGTTTGCTTTTACGGTGAAACTCTTTCCACACTGTTCGCAGATGAAAGGCTTCTCACCTGTGTGAATTCTCATATGGACTTTGAGATTTGGTTTCTGGGTGAATCTTTTTTTACACTGACGACAGGTGAAATGACTCCTAGATTTGGTCTTAGCTCTTTTTCGTGAGGAGGTCTGTTTAGTATGTGTGGCTTTTTCTCCAGTCAAGAAATCATGATGTTTCTCATTTTTCTCTTCCATTTCACTCAGTTCTTGACTCTCCTTGTTCAGTGCCTTCTGATCTAAGGTGAAAGACAATTACAAGTAAACCTTAGTTTAATGGAACAAAACAACAGAAAAGCAGCATGAAAACCAACATAAAATAATTAAAGCAACGAGACTAACAACATGTATGCTAGATTCTACATGCACTAAACTCCTGAAAGAGGTATAACCTGAAGGTATAATTTTACGAAACTCTTCTCAATATTGCAAACTCTTGCTTTCTTAAGAAAAAGTCAAATAAATCTGGCAGTTATGAAACCCATTATAAAAACACATTTTGGCCCATGAGAACTGGTTTAGTATAAACAAATATGTCATTAATTAATATCCCAAATGTTTAATTCATGTCTAAAACGTTAGTCAGGATTTAAGCCCCGGCATAGCACAAAACATTATAAACATTATATGAATTACAGTTTGGACCTTTTTAAGAACTAGAAACACTGAAAACAAAAAAAATGTAAAAAAATAATATATATATATATATATTTAGACATAGTAGACATAGTATGAAAGAAAGAATCTAACAAATGAAAGAAAGAATCTAACAATTCAAACTCGAAAACTGGACTATAGTACATATACTATGTACATATACTTTCAGATGGAGCGGCATTTACTACACAGAGCTGTAGTTCACTGACAAGCTACACAAAATCGCATTCATAATCGGCAATGAATCGCCTGCGATTTTGAATGCGATTTTGCGTAGCTTGTCAGTGAACTACGGCTCTGTGTAGTAAATGCCGCTCCATCTGAAAGCATGTGCTGGAGATTTACTACTAATCACAGGAGCGGCTTTACTGACGAGATGCGCATGAAAATCGCATTCGATTTTTTTGTACAGCCCTAACATATATACAAGTATTTTTGTGACACTGGGTTTCACAGTTCTCTCTCGGGAGCCTTTTTTTGCTCACATAGACACGTGCACACATACAAATGCACACACACCACACATGCCAAGATGCTGGTCTGAAAAGTCTCACTTCCTTCTCCCATGTCTCATCAATAATTATCATAAGAACCTCTTCTGCTGTAAACTCATTCTTTGCCATGTTTTTGTAATGATATTTTGCACTCCAAACTATCTAACCTGTTGCGTTCTGTAATTCTCTGTTCAAATTCTCCCTTTTCACGCTTTCGAAAAGCTGCTGGGCAGTTTGCTGAAGGAAATAAGCTGTATCTTGCCTAAAGTCGTCTAGTTGCCAAATTGTCTACTGTCAGGATCAATTTGTATTATTTTTATAAATAAGTTAATAGGACAGACTGCTTTCAGATGACCGTCAAAGTCGGTGCTTAAGCACTAGTGGATTTTCGCAGTGCCAGCTGGATAATAGAGTCAAGAAAATATACCAAAATGGTCACATAGTGACATATGCTTGAGCCTTGAGTGTAATAGGCTACATTCACACTGCGAGCCTTAGTGCTCAATTCCGTTGATTGTTGTTATAAATGTGGCCAATATCAGATTTACAGTATGAACAGATCATGGTTCTGAACTGACCCGCATGCGCAAAAGAATTATACTAACAGGTTTTCCAGGTTTTCACAACAAAATCCGCCCAATTGTTTCTCAAAACTAGTCCCAAACTAGCCCAACCATGTTCAGGGAGGTAAACATCACGTTAGTGGGGTCGTGTCAACCCACGAAGTTGAAAAAACTGTGGATTTGGCAACACTTCCGCAGCGCACTGTCATACAGAAGTAAACCCGGAGGACATAAAGTAAGCGATTGTGCGTTTATTTATAGTGTGATCTGCTGCAGAAGCCAGCAAAATTATGCACAGGCAATATGAAAAATAAAGACAAGGATGTGACAAAAGACAGCAGAGTTTAATGATACAAGCTCTCATGTTTTGCTTGTATATGGAGTTGACACTAATACAGAGTTCTGACATCACTGTACTTCCACTGAGTACCTTTCGCAACTGTCTCGATAGCTTTGGGTATGTAAAAATCTTTGAAGTGTCTCCCGTCAGTGCGGAATTATGACGAATGGCGATCTAGAGTGACGTAAAAGTCACATGAATTCCGACATGACCGTTCACACTGCGGTCGCGTTCCAAAACATCTGACGTGTATCAGATTTAGTACCACATATGGAAGTAGCACAAATCGGAATGGAAAAGATCAGATTCCATGCGGTTTGTGCTGTTCACACTGTCATGACAAAAACAGATCTGAGTCACGTGAGCAAACATTTTTTATTTGTATTTGGGCCACTTTTGCCTGCAGTGTGAACATAGCCATAGACACATGAGCTCAGCATTCAGTCTTGGTATGTCTTTCTCACACATTCCGATTGACAAATAACTCATCCGGAACCTACAGAACCAGTCAATTTCTTGTCTTCTTTCATTCCTCCTGACTACCAGAGGCGGTGCTCTTGGAACTTCACAGTGTGTAGGATCCAACCCATGATCCCTGAACCATGAACAGAAAAATAATCCAATGTATTCTTCCCCAAGCAGTGTCTGAATTTAGGAAGACAGTTACAGCATTAGAGGCCATGCAGGAACGAACTAAGAGAGGTATGCTCTCCCAGATTCTGGCAAGTCTTCAAATGCATGAAGGGGATGAGATCATATTTCAGGTTGGTTAAGATTACAGTAGTGAGTTAATGTGTACAATATATGTGCAAAATATTTTTGTGAAATTAGTAACACCACCCGTTACTTTGAATTTGACTGAACTGATATTTATGTTATCAGACAAATATACTGCAGTGTTCTAACAAGAGAATACAATATGTACTATGTGTACGTAAAATGTATTTGTTTTGGTTTTCTTTTTTCTTTCAGGGCGTATCACTGGTTGGTGATGTGTCAGAAATGATCCAGCCTGGTGGTCTAGGCAATAATAAGTTACAGCAGCAGATCAGTATTGAGGCTCTTCATGCTTGTTTTGGTAGTCTAATGAACAAAAACAGTCAGTGTCCAGCACACATGGCCAGAAGATGAAGACATTCTTCTAGACTATGGCAGTAAGCAAGTGTATGATCTTCTAAATAATTTTCAAGTAGTACTGCAAAGGCAAGATGTTACCATTACTTTTTAGATAATATAGATTAATCATTAGACGTTTCTGAATTCATCAGCTATAAGAATTTGCCATACATACCGCATCTCGTTGAGATGATACTGATTCTACCCATGTCAGCCATAAAGTGCAAGATAGGATTATCTGCACAGAACCACATCAAAAACTCCACCAGAAGCAGACTGCGCGTATCCACCAGATTAGAATCTGATCTGAATCAGCACAGAGAGGCCCTCTATTGAAAGATTTGATCCCAGCATTTGTGAAGAACTGGCTGTTTTCAGGTAAATGTTCAATTAGACCACACTAAAAACCCTGGCCAACTAAAATATGCAGTATCTGATAGTCGTATGTTTGTATTACAGGACCATTATTTCCTGTCATGCAAATTTATTATTTGTTCAGCATTGCAAATGTGAATTTAGAGTTCTTAAAGAGTTAGTGCGACGAAAGGCCGCCTCTTCAGAAGATGATCAATGCCTACTTCTACATTATTGCCTCGTTAGCCCCTGTAGACACAGGGAAATATTAGGAAAGAGTTCCAGATCGCGTCAGTAAAACACTGTTTCTTTGTTTGCTTTACTTGCTTTAAATAAGAGAGTTCAGGCTCTTCAGAGAGATTAAAAGTAAAAGATGATGCAGCGCTGAGTCTGACTATACTGGATCAAACAAAAATGCTTCAATACATAAGTGTGAGCAAAAGTGCTTTTACCGTATATACAATATATACTGAGTATTTATAACCCAAATGACCCATGTTGTTTTCAGAGTACATCACAGCAGCGTCCAACTATTATTTTAATATGCAACACTATTAACCAATCATAGCATTGGGAGTTTACTTCCAAGTCTTTAATGTGCCCCGCCTATAAAAACAGACCGTTCTGCAGAGAGGGTCAAGAACAGGATAGAAAATAGCCTATTACTTCTAAATTATGATGTTTTCGATGTAAAAATCTTGTTTTTGTGGACCTCAGAGAACATAATAATAATATTAATAAAAAATGCAGTTCATGACCCCTATAAACTTGGCTTCCTTTCAGCATTGGTCTTGTTCTGAACAACATAACGGCAATGTTGGCTGCTTTTTTCCAATTTAAAGGTGCTGTATGTAAGTTTTTGACTCTACTAAAGCATACAAATACCATAATATGTTTGCAGATATTTAAGAAACATGCTAAGTAAACATACTTGTTTATCTGAAAAACAATGCTACAGTCAGTTATTCTCCTTTGAAAATGTGCGTTCCGGGCCGGCATGTCGGTCTCTGTTTTGGTTTGTGAAACCCGCCCACTGCCAGTTTACCCAATTGTATTTCGGCACCCCGGGTTGCCAGTTGGCGGAAAAAAACAGCGTATTTCACTTCATTCATCGTTAAGTGTGCTCGTTCCTGTTGGTGTCATCAATCTGGCAACCTGCGTGTGCGTCAAGTCTGAGGAGGAGGGGCCGGGTGAAAAAAACCCTCTCCAATATTTTGAATTTGGACTGCAATACCTAGTTCAACCACCCGGTGTCAATCCTAAAAAAAGGATTTTATGTAGGATTATGAAATCCCCTTTAAAGGAGGCACTGCAAAAGACGACGACTTTTGATTTTTTTTTTTTTTAGGCTGCGCTTAGAAAACACTTCAAGGTTCGAAATTGCGACCATTTTGGTCGCATATGCTCCCGAAATTTAATCTGTGCGACCTCAAAATATATTTGGGAGCATTTGTGCGAGTGCATATAATTGTTGTCGTGCGACCTGTTTTAATTTCTCTAAAGTATGTGAGTATGTGCCTTCTGAGTGTTGATACGGTGACCTGTATGCCGTTCTATCAAACGTTAGGCTACATAACCAATTAAACTTCATCTTTACATTCTTAACTTTAATGCAGATTTTAGATTGGTTAATATTAGCTGTCAATCACTCAGTCACTGCTTTCCGCTGTCAGGTGACAGGGAGCTAACTACCGCGGGGAATGAAAAAGGCTGAAGAAGAGAGAAAATAAAAAAGAAACACTGACAGATTTCTTTTGTGAACCACCTAAAGTTACAAATAATGGTGCTGGTGATAGCGATCATGTGGTGAATGTTGATCCACCAGCCGAATAGAAGGCGTACAGTTTTCGGAGAGAGTGGTTGAAAGACTTCTAGTGGCTCCGCTATGAAAATGGTTCTATGCACTGCGTTCTCTGTAAAGCCTGTGGGACGGAGTTTGCAGGTAACAGCGTTCGCCACCGAATCTACACATTTGGTAATTGTTGTTTTACGATGTGTGGTTTGACATTATCGAGTATATTGCAAAATCAATATAAAATATAAAAATCCAAACAAAACACACCTACAGAGAGTGCACGCATACATGACGTGAAGTCTATTAGGTTAGATTAGTGCGCGTGCGCATTTAGAGTGCGTTCTTTCACGGCATGATTCAGTCTATTAAAATGCATCACAAAATTCAAGATATGGGGCCTTTACATCATTTCATATAGTTCAGGGGTAGGCAACGTCGGTCCTGGAGTGCCGATGTCCTGCAGAGTTTAGCTCCAACCCTGAAAAAAAACCTCACTTGTCTGTAGCCTTAGTAATCCTGAAGACCTTGATTAGCTTGTTCAGGTGTGTTTGATTAGGGTTAGAGCTAAACTCTGCAGGACAGCGGCACTCCGACGTTGCCTATCCCTGATATATTTAATCAGTATCACAAGAAGAGTACTGTTTCCTCCAAACATAAGCATGATTACAAATGTGATAGATTTTATACAACTGTTCAATAAAAAAATAAGTTAATATTAAGAGACTTACGTTTTAGACACTATATTTCCTCTTTTTGCTCTATTTCGCCAACAAAAATAATTCCAAGCACAGTCACAGCACTGTTCTCCTCTTGGCTTATATCGAAATCCTCCGACATTCTTCTTTACAAATCCTCGTTTTGTACTTCTAATTAGTGACCATTGTTTTGTTTCGATCTCTCCGCGTGCGTCACTTCTGAGTGCACTTCTGCATGCGCAACGCTGACCTCATACGTCATTCCCCCGGGAAACTGCTTCTGTGTACAACTGCTGGCGCAAGCTACATTAAAGTGATTATTACGTTTTGAATATGGATATTATAACTCCGACTGGATTCGTCTGAAAGAAGAAAGTCATATACACCTAGGATGACTTCAGGGTGAGTAATTTATGGGCTAATTTAAATGTTTGGGTGAACTAACCCTTTAAAGTTAAGAATGTAAGGATAAAATCTGTTAATATATCATTTGTAGTTGTGATGCTCATACATTTTTGGTGAGTGCTCCTAAATTTTTGCTGGTGCTCCTAACTTTTTGAAGTTGGGAGCACCAGTGCTACCAAGTAAAAAAGTTAATTTTGAGCCCTGCACTTGTAGGTGAAAATGTATGAATCCTTTCACGTGAAGGCAGCATACTTTTATTTTATTTATATAATTACTTATTTTTATTTTTTCCTGTTATAAGTAGAGATAACGTTTTGATTTTGAAAAGTGACGGCAGTCTGAACAGATTAAAGATTTTGTACGACAAGTTTTTCTTGTTGCAGTTGTAAAAAATATTCATGAACGATTTCCTTAAACTCAAATGAAACTGGATTATTTGTTTTGGCTGAACGGAAAAAACTTCTGTGCTATTTGTATGTCTTTATTTCTGTAGAGTTCAATATTTTAATAAGTGAATGACTAAATGACTGAATTTAACTTTGAGAATGAAAACCAACCTGTTTGTTCCTCAGTATCTTCTTGAAGAAACATAAATCCAAACTAAATCTCTGGGTGCGTCTCGATCAACTCCCTAGTTCAGTAGTCAGTGCACTGGTAAGGGAGTCAGTCAGAGTGAGAGTTAATGGATTTAAAGGTCACATATTGTACACCTTTCTGGAGTTTTATTTGAGGTTTTGATGTCCTTAAGAATATATATTTGCGGTATAAGTACCAAAAACCATCTCAATATATGTTTACCGCTCCTCTCTCAGGAGCTCTGCTGAGAACAGGTCGATTTTGGTCTGTCTAGTTAATATTCATGAGCCTCTCTTCTGATTGGCCTGTTGTGTTCTGAGTGACGCATGGCCAGGCCAGCCACAGGTAACTAGGGTCAGCCGACGTCACAGCACTAGCTGGAGGCAGCAAAACAAAGGGGAAACTACAGGTGGCCCATTCAAACCAGTGCAGATTCGGCTACATAAGGAGCGTAAAATATCATCTTGTTGTGATGTTGGGTGCCAGAATCGACGTAATACAGCCTCAAATTAGAAATCTGATCGTAATTGTGGCTGGAACAATAATGTAGCTGTAAAAATAGTTGCCTGCTGAAATTGAAATATATATACATCTTCATCATGACTAGATAGACACGGTGAGTTTGTCTTTACTATACACGTTAGATGTGATCCACCTCATAGTAACAATCCTGTCAGATCGTCCATCCTTCGAGTGAGAGTGTAACGTTACAGGTCGGCCGATCTGGTTTCGTGGTTAAAGTTAACCTTTTCGACATGTTTCCGTGTTGTCCTTGCTCAGCAAAAGCATGGACGTGATGTTGTCTGGGGGTTTGGCAAAAGGAGAGTGGGACGGTGGGCGGTGCTCGGGGGTGGTGACTGAAGGCCGTGACTGTGTAGTTCTGACGTCAACTTTTCACGGAAGTCACAACGGTTCGTGAAAAATAGCTAGAACTTTAAGTAGGTTGTGTGAATTTTACTGTGGACTGACTGTTTTGAAACTTATATGGTAGTTAAATAGCACCTAGACCTCAGTAATCGTGAAAAAAGCCAGGAAATTTCAGTTTTGACAATATGGGGCCTTTAAATTACCTGATTAGCCAAAAAAAAAAAAAAGACCTCCAAACTAGCACTTCGAATTAATAAAACAACACAAAGTACACAGACAATTAAAATCTAATTATGTATATTGGTATTTAGTAACAAACTGCAAAAGTTTCACATTTAGGCACTGTAATGCATTTTTTGGTATTTAAGGATTTGTAGGTTATATTTGATAGATTGCACTTTTATGAACACATTTCTATTGATTTGATAAAGCTGTCGTTACACATGTTTGTTGTTCTCGCTGCATTTACACGGGTTTGAGCAGCTGGTCTCGTCAGCGTGTGGTGATTCGAAACAGTGAATTATTTTGAGAAGCAATTGATTCAATTGACTCGGTTTCGAAAAGTTCAGTTTCTCTCATCACTACTGGCAGTGACCGAATTTGTGTTTATGATAAACTGATTCACAATATCGTGAGCGAAATGAGACGCACCTTTTCTGTTAGTCATGTGTGGATGCTTTTTTCTCAAACAAAATAACGACAGTGTTACAATATTATTTCCAAATGTTATATTCACCTTAAAAGCTTAACAACGCTAACCTTTCTTCAGTCGAATCACAACAGATGTAGGATCGCGGCGCATCCTTATGACGTCATATCGCCATACCAAAATAAAAGTCCTGCAGCCGATTGCACAAACTGACTAGTCGCACAAAGTTAGTCATCTAGTTTTTTTTTCTTCTTCAAGACTAGATATAAATTACATCACTTCAATTCAATAAAAAAAAATGTATAAGTCTATTTTGAATCTGAAATGTAAGTCTATTTACCCCACTGATTTCCATGAGGAAACAAGCTTATAAATCATACAGAATTATCTTTTTTTTTTAATCTAAAAATGCAAAACGTTTTCTGTGAGGGGATAGAAAATACAGCGTGTACAGTATAAAAATCATTACATCTTTGGAATGTCCCCATAAAATATGGAAACCCAACATATGTGTGTGTAAATAGTTTGAGATGTGATGTACGAGTAAAAAAAGAAGTGTTAAAAAGAGTATGAATTAATAAAGTTCATGCATGTGTCGGTATTAAAACGTATATAAAAGTTAGTGTATTTTTCTAATATTAAGTGGATACATGAAGTTCATTTGAGTCTAAGATACCTCAATAAAGGTATTTCTAAAAAAAATTAATAAATAATGATCTTTCAAAAATCAGTAGAAGATAAATGTAAGTAGAACAAGTGAGGGCAGTGGAGACAGAAGAAGAGCTTAATATGATCCGATCCATCAAAGACCGACAGCATCTCGGTCTTCTGTCAGTAGAGCAGCAGTTACAAACACCTGCAATCGTATCAAACAATCAGATTCTGTATCTCACCAACATCAAATCAATATGCAGCTGTTTATTTACATCAGGTTTCATGAACTGTGCCAAAGGCAATCTTGTAGATCATTGTCTGCATGAATGTAAACACTGCTTGTAAGCAGTTGAGGGTATGACATGCTAAAGACAAAATATGTTTTGAAGTTCATTGAAAACAGCAAGGGAGGACTTTGCCTGACATGGAATGAGTTGTCTATCCAGCACAATGCGTTCAGTTAGACTGAAACGAGGTAAACACATTAGAAACATAAAACCTAATACATGACGCATAACAGCTCGCTAGCACAGTATATTCTATTGCCTCCCTGATCCTCATCTTGGGCAATGTGTTCCTACCACCAGAAGGTGACAAAAAGAAAGCCAGGAGTAAAATAGAAGACATGTCACTGTCCTATCCTGCAAACATGAAGGATTCTTCTATGGTATCGCTGCCATGTCTGAAGAGCACTGAAGCTTCTCACTGCCTCAGCTGATGATGCAGAAGCCACAAGCAATAAGAGGACCAGTGTCTCCACTTGCTTGAAGAGTCCACAAACCTCAGGTACCATATTCTTCAAAAATATTAACCATTTCTGTGTACATTTTGTGTTTATAAATCGTGCAAAACATGGCCATCTGCAGTTTTAGAGAAGGGAACTCCACCTCAGGGTACAATTCAACAATGCTGTCGACTTAAATTATGTTATTACCTCCAGTACTGCCAAGACAAAGAAGAAGGAACAACTGGACCTGTAGAAAAATCATGGTACTTGGATGGTTACTCATGGTGACCCCCATACAAAGACTTGGACCGGTTGCTAAAAGTGTCAGGATGATGGAACAGATTGTTTGTCACTAATACCAAATAAAGGCACAATATGCAAGATTTTTTTATTAAAATATCCCAAAACCACTAGAACAGTGTTATATATTTTGCTGACTTGTGTACTTACATTATCCCAAATGTTTTGAAGAATGTTTAAATCCAGAGAAATAAGCAATTTTAACTAGTGACACGGAGTGTGTCCATAGTGTCACCTGTCAGTGACGTCATACACCCTCGATTTTTCAGGTTTTATTTTGTTGAAAACATGGAAACACCAAAGACACTTTAATATGTTATGCATTTTATTACACAGGTGACAAACGCACAGAGGAGCATTATAATGGAATTTTCAATACACTCAAATATATCTAGTATAAAACAGCGCTGTTTTTTCCCACATACGCATGACCGGAAGAAGCAGAAGTGGTCGACTGTGGCATAATAAAAGCTCTGCTGCTATCGAGCCGTGTATCGCGCTCGTTGTTCATTAGCAATCACTTCAGCGTCCTCGTTTCGCTTCCACGACTTTTCCAAAGACTTAATAAGTCTTTAATGCATTAGCTCATCAATGAACATGATTTCTGCCTGAGTCCCGTTGGATTGCATCGGCTGTGGGGATGAAAACGACAACTCCCATGATTCCACACTCAGTCACGACGTCATCAAACTACGTCTTTGTTTCTTGTTTGTTTTGAATATGCGCCCTCTAGCGACGAAAACTTACATATTGTGCCTTTAAGGCAAGTCATTTCGCTCGGCAGCCATCTTTGAAACACTTCTCAGGCAGCTACTTCACTTATGCAAGTACAGCTCGTATCTCTTGAAATGGAGAACATCAAATTCTCTAAAGCTGTTCATCAAGATTATGATTCAATTTTATATTTGAAATCACCAATGAAATCTGACAATAACCATTCTAACAGCTCAAATCATGATTTAAAAAAAAAAAAATGTTCAGTTTGACCAAGCTAATCCGTATGCTCATCCAAAGTGAATGGAGGGGGCAAATGTTTCATGACACCAGCCTCTTTACACTCCTTTCGTACTCCTGCCATTGCTGCAGCAGGTCACAAGGAATCAAAGCGTAGTAAAAGCACACATATCCCTAGTACTATACGAAGTGCAAAAAAAGCCATTGAAACCAGTTTACACCAGTGCAAATTGACAGAGAAAAAGGTGCTGCAATAAGTCAATTTGTTTTTGAAAGGAGGATAATTAAAAATGAGAATGTCCCATTTATGTGCTGCTTTTAAGTGCAACAATCAAGTAGGCTTTAGATGTTTTTTTGGGGGTTTTTTTTGCATTCCCCAAAAAAGACAAAATATTTAAAAAGGGGGTGAAAAGTTGGTAGACATATTCCTGTCATTTTCAACATCCCACATGTACTCAAATCCATCAGGAACATCTTCAAAAAATGTAGACGATGAAATCTTAATATATTGTTTCTATTATTTTGTATAATCAAGTACCAATATATATATACAGGTTGCGATTTGTAGAAAAACCAG